ACGCGCGTGGCACCCGCGTACGCTAAGATGGGCGAGATGATGCTCGCCCTCTTCCGCCACCACCAGTGGAGTCGCGCGGTGCTGGTCTACAGCGACGACAAGCTAGAGCGGAACTGCTACTTCACCTTAGAGGGGGTCCATGAGGTCTTCCAGGAGGAGGGTTTGCACACGTCCGCCTACAATTTCGATGAGACCAAAGACTTGGATCTGGACGACATCGTGCGCTACATCCAGGCCAGTGAGCGAGGTGAGCAGGAGTGCGCCCTGGGCTCCGGGTCCTAATCCAATAGCGCTCGGCGGCTCTCCCTATGCGCGGGTCCGCTCCTCTGCGGATCCCACCACCCCCTGCAGCACTGAGGAACTGGGGAAGGCGCGCGCGCGGGGACTTGCCTGGGTGTGCACCGTGTGGCTTTGACCATCGCCCATGACTTTGTTGGGGTGTACGTAGAGGGTCCCAGGGAGGTGGTGGAGCCTGGGGGAGGGGCATGTGAGTCCTCAGGTCGCTAGTGCCCTGGTCCAGCAGGTGCTGTCAAACCTGTTTTTTTTTCCTTCTCGTTCCCCTGTCTCCAGCACCGGGCTTGCGGTTAGGGGCGCACTACAGGTGCCCTGCTTCAATCAGGGTCTGAAAGCGTCACAAGGCTGAAAGAACTTGTTACTGGGTCCTTCTCCGACGTGCGTCCCCTCTTAGTTGGGGAGCCTATGTCGACGCTCTGCAGACGGCGTGCTGCCACATGGTCAGCTCCGGCCTCCGGGTTTCCCGGACTGCTCCTACAGATCCAGCTTTCTTTTAGACTCATTGAATCGCCCTTCTTATTCCTTCCATGGTCCCACCAGCCCCTTATAAACAGGCTTCTGTGATTTCCACCAAAAATGCCTCGCAGTGTCTGGATTTAGGCGACATTCACTTCCCCTGGCGCGATCGGCATCACTGTCTCTAAAGCGCCGGTACCTAGGTTTCGCGGGAGCGTGCGCGCTGGAGAAGCGGGTGCTGAAACTCCCTTCCACGTGTCCCCCAACCAAATTTTCTCAGCAGGTCTTTCGGGGTTTGAAAACCACCCAACTGGCCAAAGAGCTCAAGGCTGAGGATAGTGGCTATGACTACAGGGAACGGGAGGAGAAGCGGATGGTCACGGATACATAGTCACCGAAGCCCCCTGGCTCATTTTCCTGCCGAGTAGACCTGTGGGAAGGAGGGCAGATATCCCAGCATAGCGCGGCTCCCTCCTTACCAATGTCAGGTTTGGGGTGGGTAGCTCTCAGGGAACCCCGCCTGTGCTCTGGCTTGGCGCGCATGCGCCTGGATTGCTAGTGGTGCAATTTCTGCAAAGCTTCCCAAGACCCCACGCAGGGGGACGGGCCGAGGCAGGCTTGGGGCTAGCCCAGGGCTTGTCGCGGCTGGGCACCTGGGAGCTGGCCGTGGGAGATAGCTCAACCCGAGGCTGGGGGCCTCAGGAACAGATGAGAGTGGGCAAAGGCGCCATGTAGGATGGCGCTGCGGCCACCCTCCTCAGTTTGGTCACCTCGGACTCGGAGTGAACGCACTCTTTAGAGAGAAGAGGCGGGAGGTATTGACAGTGGGGATGCACGGCCAAGTTTTGAGCGTTCGAACTCCAGGCTGTCTGCGCGGAATTCCTGCCAGCCAAGCAGGCGGGGCGCCGGCTTTGCTGATTATGAAAAAGGGCACTTGTATCCAACGGCTGCGGATTCGCTACGCCCGGCCGAGAAACCCACATCTACTCCTCTCCCACTCCCAGACCCCTGCAGAGTTCGGGCAGCTCTAGTCCCCGGGCTTGATTCTTCAGCTCTCGGCTCTGGCTCTCGAGAGCCCAGAGCTAGGAGTTGGAGACTTGGGAATGGGGGTGTGTCCCCCTACCGGTGAGATCCACAGTCTGCCAACGCGTCTGTGCTGCCATTGCCTTGAAAGTCTAAATGCCGTCTGCGCATTTCCGCATGACCCCTGCGCACGTGGCCGGGGATTCATGCCCGAGGTCAGCCCAGATCCCGGCCATGGGGGCCCTCTCAGCCTCACAAAGGTGTGGCTGAGGCCAAAGGGTAGGCCGTCAGGGCCCTTGTGGACCTGGGGTCTTCAGAGAGCTTGGGTTACAGTCTGCGGCTGCTGCTTTTTTTTTTTTTAATTCCAAAGCCTAGTAGTTGCTCCCAAGCCTCCTTGCTGTTTTTTTTTTTTTTCCCCTTCTTCTTCCAAGTTTGAATTTAGTGGTGAAAGTTTGCTCGGCTGACCTGTATGTTTTACAGGTGACAAGGTTACCATTCTCACTCTGAGCATCTGCCAGCTACTTGGCAGATGCTCAGAAATATAGAACTAAATAGTTTCTCCCCTGAGCCCTCTTCCCTCCCCTGAAATATCTGACTCTCTGGAGAAGCAGTCGCTTTATGACAAAGCTCGCTGGGGATCTTTTAGTTTTGCTAACTACTGTTGTTTCAGCATAAGCCGCTCATGGGTTAAACAGGGGCTCAGTGTAGGAGTTCATGGGGTTTGAATTTTCAGATCTCTTGTCCTGGCTCAGACATTCTTTGGCGAGGGAGCTTGGGTTCCTTATGAACCTCTGTAACTCAGGCTTCTCAAGTAAATTGGGGATAGTCGGGGTACCCCCATCTTGGAGATGCTGAGAAGATCAACCGAGCTAACGTATAGGAATGCCCTGAAACAGTGCTGGACACTGAGTATTCAGTAAACTGAGGTTTTGTTATAGTTGTTATAATTATAACAACTGTATATATATATGATAATAATCACCTTTACCCGAAGTGAGACCATGCCATGGGGAGAGAACCCCGGGAGCAGAGCGGAGGCTCGGAATCTGGCGCCTGCGCTCAGCGGCTGTGGGGCCGCCCAGGTCACTCAATCACCTTCTCTGAGGCTGAATTTCCTCCTCTCTGAAACTGAAGTTGCATGGGAGTCAGGCCTCTTCAGACTGCTGTTTGGTGATTATGATTTCTGCTCACTCAATAAAATGGAACTGACCCTATTTTTTGCCTTTGAAAATTTCATATTAAGCATCATATGAACTAGAGAGTTTTCCCCCCACTTTTGGAGATAACATTTTTAGCACTGTTTTTGGACTTAAGTTCATCTTTAAAATCAGATCACAAGTGTTTGAATCTCTCAAAGAGTAAAAACTGATGATGCCATCATCGCTAATAATAATATGACTAAAATTTCTTCTGGTTATGTATGTACTATCAAATGAAAACCTGAGGAATTTTACTCATTTTTTTTTAGAGATTTACCATCCAAGTCAATACTTAAATATTTTTTCTCTCATGTCTTTAGCCAACATATAATACCACTGTAATACACATACCTGAGCATACATTATTTTTAAAAATTCATCTACTGCCCTCAATATGCTATGCTCAATGATAAATTTATTTTTAAAACTGCAAGTTTAAAAATAAATATTTTTTCAAGCAATAAAAGTCTGCAGTTGTTTTGTCTATATATCTCATGAGATGCAGAACTAGAAGTATTTTGTACACACAAACTTTTTTTGTATGAAAAACTGCAGTTTTATCTGTTTAGTTATTAATATGTCATTAATCAGGGCCTGCATAACAATGGTAGAGATAACAGTATTTAATCAGTATGAGAGTAACTTATTTTTAGAATTAAGTTAGAGTAAATGAGCCAGTGGTTGATCAGCAGAGTTTTTAAACAAAGAACCCATGATAAGTGTAAAGTAACTAATACACAGCAGAGGAAAACTGAAGCATTGCAGGCTGCAGTGGAGAAAGTCTGAAAGCCTTTGGAATAGCTGGAGCATTGTGAACAACAAAAATAAAAGTGCAATCTCTATTTTGCAAATGAAACCCATTGCTATGTAAAGTAGAAACAGCCAGAGAAAAATCCCCCCCCCCTTTTTTTAAATAGACTTTATTTTTGTGGAAGTTATGCAGCTACATAGTTTAAAAAGTCAGAACATCACACATCTTTTTAGGGGGATAGTTAGGTTTGTTTGTTTGTTTATTTATTTTTCATTTATTGATGGAGGTACTGGGGAGTGAGGCCAGGACCACATGCATGCTAGGCAAGCACTCTACCACTGAGCTATGCACACATCTGTTTCCTATTTCCTGCTCCCCATTTCCCACTTCCCAGAGGCAGGTATTTTCAACTCTTGTAGCTGTTTCTGTAGATACTTGACTTCATACATATAAATAATGTTACTTTTGATTTTTTTGGCTTTTGGTCTTACTTCTTGACGTCCCTGAGGAAGATAGTGAGTTAGTTGTCTTCTACTGATAGTTAACTACACATTTAACCTTTCATTCCAGTCACCCTTCCAATATCATTGTGTCGAATTTTTTGGTTAGCTGGGTATTCAGTGTCTGTATTGTTATCATCATCTAAATGCAATTTGTAGCTGAGTCATATAGGCTACTACAATGATATTTCTTTATTGCCCTACTTGTTTTCCTTGGGGTTAAAAAAATAGTCTGTTTTTGTCTTTGCTTAGTTGCCTATGAATTTATAACTAAATCATCTACCAGTTCTCTATTTTAAGCCTCCTGAGTTGCTCCAGTTTGGTTATTTTCTAAGCATGCTACATAGTTACCACTCTGGGTTCTTCAACATCCTCCTGCAACTTCATCATCTCTCTCACTCTGGCTAGATCCCTATGTGCTCCTCTTTCTTGATTTATGCTCTTGCTCTTGTTTTGGTGGAGCACATTCTGCAGGAGCTTTCTGAGAAAGGATGGATGAGAGCTGGAGATTGAGACCTTTCATGATTGAAAATTTCTTCATCCTACTCTTATACATAATTATAGAATTCTAGGGTGAAAATAATTTTTCCTCAGAATTTGAAGAATTGCCATTTACATTCCAATGTTGCTCTTAGGAAGCCTGAATTGATTTGGATTCTTGACCTACTATTATCTGCTATTTTTCCCTCCTCTGGAAGTCTTTAGAATCCCCTCTTGCTCCCAATGCTTTAGCATTTCATTATGATGTACTTTTGTGCCAGTATTTTGACTTATATGCTTAAGGTACTGAAGGATAAGCCTCTTCACTTCAGAAACTCATGTCTTTTTATTCTGGGAAATTTTCTTACATATCCCCTAATTTTCTCTGTTCCTTCTAGAATTTTTTTTTTTTTTTGGATGTTAGACTTCCTGGTTTGAGGCTCTGCTTTTCACACACCTTTTCTCCTATTTATCACCTGTCTTTTTAAAAAAAAGTTCCTCTTATTTAGCTACTCCTAAAGTTATTACTGAATTTTAGTTTTATATTTCTGCTGTCATATTTTCAATGTGCAGCAATGCCATCTCTTGCTTTACTTCCATGAAGAAACATCTCTTTCCCTTCTGAGTTTGGAATTAAATGGAAGATGGACATAGAAGTCAGATAGAGAATATGAAAATATCATTTTTATTATTGATAAAAACCTACTGGAGAATGTGGATTTAGATCTGTTGCCAAAAGGGCCTGCTTGCTGTTACTTCCCCCAGAGTTAGTTGGGGCCATCCGCTGCAGACCCACCTCCAGGACAGGCCCTTTACCACATGGCAAAAGTTGCCCCTATGTATGCTCTCTGCCAGCAGATACACCCCAAAGAGGAAGGAAGAAAGGGCTGAGTCTGGTATGCCCAGTTTTCTCTTCTAGACTCACCATCACACAAGCCCCTCCTTTTCCTTCAGGGTTTGGGGGAGAGGGATCAGTGAAGGCACGTGGGAAGATGAGGGGTGTCCTCCTGCTACAGCTGGTGTCAGATGGAAACCTGAAACTGGGGAAAGGATAGCCCCTGACTCAGGCATGCTCCCTGGACTGTTTTAGGGTCTCCAAATTGATTTCTCCAGCCACCCCTTTGCACTTCTCTCTGTCATTCTTAGAGTGATTGCAGGAACATGTTGCAATAGTTAAGAAGCCGCTTACAGAAGACATTGCGGGAATGAGATAGTGGAAGATGACATGGAACATCACAAGTTCTCTGGCAAGGAGTTAAAAATAGAGCAGAATGATGAAAAGTCTATCCAGAAACTTGGAATCACACCACCATTTCCTCTTTTAGAAGTTTAACAATTTGACCAAAAAAGTTGGTATTCCTATATTTAAATATACTTGAATACAGCAGAAATTCTCTTAATTGACCTCCACTCAAGCAGCTCACAGGACCAGCTGATGTCTCCTTTTCTCTATGAACTTGACTGGCTGTTGGCGGATCTGGCAGCTAGCGCACTGCTCCTGAGCCTGCCAGCATGCTTCCCACACTGCTCCCCGAATCTGCTGATGCCAGTTGTACTTATTATCATAAGTGTGTCATTTAATTAGTTATTATGTAAACTGATGAAATGTGAGTAAGAAGAGAAAGCTATTTTAGTAAAAACTATTTTAAACCTTCTAATAGATTGTATAAAGGCCAGTTGCTAAAAATACTTGCTGTTGAATTAGGCATGAATGAAAAAGTCATAAGAGATTAGGGGACATCCTGCAGATCTAGAAGGACTCTGCATTCCAAATGCTCAGCCGGTGTCTTTTTTTTTAATTTATTTATTTTTATTGAAGTTTTTAAGTGCTTGCTCCAACTTAAACTGGACTATCATGTGCATTATGGGTTTGTTTTATGTAAGAAAAACTATATCTCGCCCATGGAGTTGGAAATTAGGATCTCCTTTTGAGTGTTTAAAAAAATTTTGTGGGGGCAGACAATTGGGTTTTATATATTTATTTTTGATGGAGGTACTGAGGATTGAACCTAGGACCTGTGGCTGCTAAGCATGCACTCTCCCACTTGAGCTATACCCTCCCCTCTAGGATTTCCCTTTGAGAGTTGAACCACATTGTCAATACGAAATGGATGAGATCTAAAATAATTCAAGTCTGCTCAGATAGGTGCAATGCTGCTCTGGGTCACTCTTGCTGAGTTCAAGCAGGTAATGACATTTAAAGAAAGAATGTGTCCATCAGAAGGGTTTGGTCTTGGTGGTGATGGGGAAAGAGAGGAGATGGGCCAGGACTGTAAAAATAGAAAAGAAGTGACAGAGAGGCCAGCACTGGGCACAGGCCGTCCAGGACTTGGGGAAGCTTATGCTCCGGTCTGAGGACACAGCCTGTTCGGGCCTGGGCCAGGTGTAGCTCTTAGAGACAGGTGCTTAGGGTTATCGAGGCCTGAGGCCTTTGGATGCCTGAATCCTCCAGCTGACCTCGCTGATTCTGATTTTATCCTCACTAACATGCTGTTGCTTATAACTTGCCTCCTCAGTTAGCACACCCAGGTATGGGTCAACACAAACATGTTTGTGATCATTTTGGTCCTCACTGAAATTAATAATCATTTCAGATTACTAAAAATATCTGAGTTAGCTTGTTGGGATTCTGCCCCCAAGCAATGACTCTACTCCTTGTGTGCTGACAGAATCAGGTTCTGTGTCTGGGGGTTTAGAGCCAGACTCTGGACTATGAGCTGCTGATCAAAACATGATGCAGACTGCCGGTGACCATCAGCCGGAGCTTCCTGGAGCCTCCGGGAGATGCCCACCCTGGGAATCCACACTCTTCAAACTTGTCCAGCCTCAGCCCCTTACTGGCTGTTTTGTGGGACACTTTGGCTCTTTGTCATTTAAGGGACTAGACTCAAATCAGCACTAAAACAAGCATCTAGGTCATAAGGAATAATGAAGAGTTTCTTCAAAAACTTCCTTTCTGAGGCATTTTGGAATTTGACTGTTTATCCCAAATATATAACTATATTGCCAGGCACAAACAACATCTACTCCGGCAGTTATAAATCTGTAGGAGGTTTGTATTGTTTTAAAAATTTGTTTTCCAGAGCTTTGAGCCTGGACTCCGAGCCCTTTTGTTGCAAGAAATGTCAGAGTCACGATCCAACACTCTGAACTAACCTGTGCAGTAAATGAAATGTCAACAAGCGCCTGACCCTCCATGCAGGATGCCAAGGCAGCTTTGGCACAGCTTAAAGTTTGTTATGCATCTTTCAGTACTCATGCTTTTACAAAGAACATACTCATCTCGCAGGGCTGGCACACGTGGTGATAACGAGGTCATGGTACCCAGGTCTCTCCAAGCCTCTCCTCTCCTCCATGTGTGCAAACACCACGGACCCTGTCATGAGGGCCAAGGGCCATCAACAATGGTCAAAAATCACTGGATAATGGCCAGGTCCTCACTTCACCCTAGTCTGTTGTAGCTCTTCTGGGGCAGGCAACAATATTCTGGAGCTGCTTAACGCTTCTCAACTCGGACAGTGTGGATACAAACTGAGAGCATGTGGGGAGGGATCTGAAATCTTGGTAACTACGTCCAGTATATGTTGAGACAGCTTAAGAGAAAGGTTTCTGCATTCAAACAGCAGAATGCCTATACCACTCACTGCATCCTATGATTTGCCAAATGAATGTTCTCCCTAAAGCCATTTAGTCTGCTTTTTCAGGAAAATGTGTTTACCATGCTATTAAGTATAGAAAGCAGTTAACATGTCTTACTGTCTTATATTGAGCAAATCTGGTGATTTATTTGATGTATTTTTAAAAATTCATTTTGAAATAATTTTATGCTTTTGGAAAAGATGTAAGAAAGTGTAAAGCATCTCAGTATAGCCTTCACCCAGATTTCCACCAGTTGTTAACATTCTGCCACAGACACTCTGTCATTTCAAATCTCTCCCTTCCCCTCTCCCCTCCTGTTCCCTCCCCTTCCTCCCTTCCAAATATATACACATGTATGTAGAAACACACAAATATTACTATCTTTTTATGAACTATTTGAGAGCAAGTACAGCCATCATGCTCTTTTACCCCTCAAAATTGAAGTGTGTGTTTCCTAAGAGCAAGGACATTCATATAATCACAGTAGAATTATGAAAAGCAAGAACTTTTAACACAGATGCATTACTACTATCTAATTTACAGACCTGATTCAAATTTCTCCAGTGGTCTCAATAATACCTTTTATAGAAAAACTTTTATTACTGTTTTTTTAAGGTCCAGTCCAGGATCACACACTGCATTAGGCTTTACGTTTCTCTAAGTCTCTTTTAGTCTAGAACATTTCCCCGGGCCACCTTTGTTTTGCATGCAAGTGCCCACTTCAAAGAGCACAAGCCGAGTCTTCAATACACGCTCCCTCGAGCTGGGTTTGCGGCTGCTTCCTTCTGATTAGATTCAGGTTGTCCGTTTTGTCGTTTGGGGCCCCGGCTGTGTACACCGGGAGGCTGGTGAGTCTGTTCTATGGTGGGTGATGTTGGTTTCAACCCCTTGGTCACGGCGGCGACCGCTAGCTTTCTCCACTATAAAGTCATAGTGACTTCCCTTTGTAATGTAGTAACTTCCTTTTGTAATTCATAAGCAATGCGTGAGGAGATGCGTTAGGACTTTGTGAGTGCCCTATGCCTTGTCAGACGCCCCCCCCCCCGTTTCAGCGCGGCGCTGTCCACCGAGAAGGGGCGGTTCACGTGTGTTTCCTTCCTCCCCCCGCAGTGGTGATCATGTGTGCCAGCAGCGACACCATCCGCGGCATCATGCTGGCAGCGCACAGGCACGGGATGACCAGTGGGGACTACGCCTTCTTCAACATCGAGCTCTTCAACAGCTCTTCCTACGGTAACTCTGCCTCCCGCGTCCACTCGCGCTGCCGGGGTCTCCAAAATGGGTTGTGAGATGGGGCCAATAACTTGAGTCATCGCAATAGATCTGATGTCCATAGATAGGATTTCAGACATTTGTGATTCTGAACACTCCCACTTCTCATAAATTCTCAAGTTTTCTTCCTTGAGAACTCAGAGCAAAAAGAGACCACTTCCTGCGATGCCAAGGGACTTGTCTGGGAGAACATAGCTCACTCTAGCTCTCCAAATGATCATAAATCCAGGCCCTAAAGACCCCTCCTCAGTGCGTTTCCAACTGCAGGTTGCCACGATGACGGACTGTTGGGATAATTTTAGTGAGATTTGGGCAGAATTTTTAGTAGACTGGAATATGCTCAAACATGTCACTATAATAGAGTAGAACATGTCAAAGTGTACCACACACAGCATATGTGTAGTTTCATAAAACTTATTTTAGCAATATGACTGTACATTTATGTGTATGTATTTATGCATATTACATATATGTTTGTAATGGGCCACAATGTGAAATAAATAAAATAACCATTACTGTAAATTGAGGTAAAATTGTTTTGAAAGTCGCTGCTCCCAGCCCCTCCTCCTTCCAGATTACTGTCTCTTAAGAGCCACTAACAGATATGATTGAAAGCATTTAATTCCTTAAAATGGATCTGGGAAAGTTCCCAGGGTTCCTATGTTGAGAGTGTGTTTAAGGAATTCACCAAGATCACAGGTACAAAACATTTCCCCCTAAATGTGGTTAAGGCTTTCTTTGAAGCAAACACTGTAGGGCTATGGAACATTTTCTCAGATACTGCACATTGTGTTTCAGGGGAACTGTAAGTGTGTGTATCACAAACGGCATGTTTATGCTGAGCTCCGCTTCCCAATTATTGCTGTCGAGAGAGCGTTACATGGGATCCAAACCTTAAAGCATATACCTCAGTTTCCTGCTCTGATATCCTGACTTACTTAAGCAATAGACCATTGTGCATAAACATAATAAAACACTTCTCATGGGGATAAAGAAAAGTTATTGAAGCAAAAGTAGCCTGTGCTTCCTATAGTGGATAAAGTTAGATATTTAAGGCTGGAAGGAAACGCCCAATTTCCCCCCTCCTTGCTTTCCCCTTCTCTTTATATAAGCAGAGTGGCAGTTTCACTTCTTGATCCAAGATCAGAAGGTAATTACATTATTGGTTATAGTATTGAGTTCTTTGAGATACTGGTAGAGACTGAGGGAAAATGAAAAACATTTATTCTGAGTCTTGCAAGTTGGCTACTGCAAGCATAGAATTTGGAGGCAATGTATGTGAATGCACATTATAAATGGGCAAGTACAATACAAATGTTAGGTACTGGAATTCCTTTAATCCACAGATAAAGCTTGTATCACTTTTCCCTGCTCATTACAATACATGAATATTAAAGAAAATTTGAGAGACATAGAAAAATACAGGGATGAAAATATGTTACTCTAATTGTGCCATACAGATAAAAGTACATTGATAATATTATAAAAAATATATATTTACAAAAATATTTTTTCAGTAAAATAATCACTCTATTTATAGTATGGCTATATAGTATTTTATAATACTGATATTCAATCTTTGCTCAATCTGTTATTTTTCAATATTTATGTTGTTTCCAGGTTTTGCTATAAGAGTAATAATATATTGAGTTGCCTTATGTATGCATGCATGTACACACATTCATACATATATCTATACATAATCTGTAAGACAAGTTTCTAGAAGTAGAATTCCTGGGTCAACAGTTATATGCATTTAACTTTTGATAGATATTGCCAGGTTGTCCTCTAAAGCAGTTTACCAGTTTACTTTTGCAACGGTGTATAACATTGTCTTTTTTCGTTCTTTGAGGTAGTCTGTTTTCCTACATCCCTGTAAACCCTGCATCATCTAATTTAAAAACTTTATTTTAATTGAAATGTAGTTAATTTACAATGTTAGTTTTAGGTGCACAGAAAAGTGATTCAGTTATACATATACATACACATATATTTTTTCTTTTCAGATTCTCTTCTGTTATATGTTATTGTAAGAAATTGAATATAGGTCCCTGTGCTATACAGTAGGTCTTTGTTGTTTATCTATTTTATACATAGTAATGTGTGTCTGCAAATCCCCAACCCCTCATCTAACTTTTAAATTATTTTATTTGAATTTCTTTTTATGTCCATAAGCAGTTTTGCAGTTTTCTTCGTTTGAATTTTGCACTATTTTTGTTGAGTTCATTCTTAGATATTTTATGCTTTCTGGTTATTATTATGATCATGATCTTTCCCTGTTACATTTTGTAACTCTAGTTGTCATATAGAAACAAGAATTCCACATATTAAATCCTCTGTTCCAATAGTTTTTATACCATTATCAAATAACAACTGTAATTTTCTTTCCATTTTGATAGTTGAACATTATATTTATTTTTCTTCTCTTATTGCATTAGCAATAGCTTCCAGAATAATATTATATAGCAATGGTGATACTTTAATTTCTAATATCTTATCAGAAATAGATATTAGAATATTCTTAAATTTATTAAGGTGACTTTAAAAGTTGGAAGTGAGTGATGAATGTTATCAAATATATTTTATTGGTACTTTTAATAAATTTTCTAATATTGAGCCATTATAGTATTCTTGGGATTAAGCATACTTTGTCATGATAACTTTTTACATGTATTGCTGATACTGATTAAGTTTTTAGCATTTTATTTAGGATTTTTGAATCTATGTTCATGAGTGAGATTGGACAGTTTTCTTGCCTTCAGGTGGTTATTGGCAGATTTTAAAATCAGGTTTATATTAGCTTTATAAAATTAATTAGGTCAATGTCCATTGTTTTTATGCTTTAGAAACCATAAGAATATTCCTTAAAAGATGGAAATAATTCAACTCTGTGTCTAGACCTAATTTCTTTTTAGAGGTAATTTTTGGAAAACTTAAATTTTGTTTTGAAATAATTTTAGACTTACAGAGAACTTGTAAAAATAGTATAGAGAGGTCACATATACCTTTTACCCAGATTCCTCTAATGTTAAAAATTTAAATAACCATAGTACAGTTATAAAAAAAAGTTAACATTGATACACTACCACTAACTGAACTACAGTCTTTATTTGAGGTTT